ATTGTAAAAACTGAACAAAATCTTAATTATTGTGATGAGAAATTAATATATACAGTGTACCCTATTTCTTACGAGCCTTCCAGATTTTTTCATCCCGTAATATTTATTAACCAATTGTTCCGAATCGCACGTTTGTGAGAGAAGCGCACAATGGGGCAAACTTTTCTTAAATCGCACAGTTGCGTGCTCCATGTGCGGAAGGTGAGCGCACAATGTATGAATGATGTGCACATGCTATGTTTGGTGCGTTGTACGATCACAAACCGTAGTAAATTGATAATTGTTACTCTGACAATGATTTGAAAGAATTAAGAATTCGCGGAACCTTCATACTTGCAAAACTTAGTTGCAGCATTTGCTATAGATAATGATAAAAAGGGAGTAAAGGAGGAAATAAAAAGTGAACAAATTAGATATTACCTATTTATTATAATTTTTACATAATAATTACATGTATACACTATAGCAAAGAGTATAACACTCACTAGGGCCACTTCAGTACAGATGACGGAGTCTGAAATTAGGACAGTGATACTACCTTTGAGTTGGAGATTCCTCTTTCTCTTCCTTTAAGATCAGGAATGATTGTCTACATCAAAAACCAAATGAATGAAATCAATGTCGAAAAGTGTGCTATGTTAATCAACCAATAACGATTGATGATATTGTAATGAATATATTCAACAATGACAGTACTTTTAGAGAACTATTCAAATATAGAATTTAATTGTTTTTTTAAACAAAATCCATCCGGGGTTAAATTGAAAATCATTTCCCGTCCGGAAGCGTGGGTATATCTACCCGATTGGGGAGGAAAACATAAGAACCCTTCACTTATTGTGCAATTGTTTACAGATTTAGACATTAATATTTCTTGTTTGAAGAAAGCGTATCTTGGATATCATCCTATTGCACTAAAATGTGGTGAAATCGTAGGAAAGTTTAACAATTAACATAAGTATTGTTGTATTTTAACTGTTAATGTTTTAGAATCGGTTAGTCAGATGGTATTATTCTAACATTATCTGACAAGACCAAAGGACTAATTAGTATGAGGGATTCACTAGTTCCCGATGCAGTCTACCATTCGTGGCGGATTGGTCGAGTGGTCGTCGTACGCATGGATATTCAGAGAAAGTGTTTTTCTCCGCCCACACAACTCTAACAACCCAGGTTGAGTATACATTGGTTTACACTGTGCTGTAGCATTCAAGTGAGGTTGCACTATAAATGATGCCGCTGGAAGCACGGTCAACTACAAACAGAAAACATTACATCTCAACCACACACGCATGCATACACACATAGGGATATATTAGCCAGGTGACATAGGACTGATAAGGCAGCTCCTGAGAATTCCTCAAAAATTATATTGATAAATATATATGCGTTTTGTATTAATTGTATATCTAAGTACTTTAAAGCGCTTTAGAGTGGCTTATGTTAGCTGGATAGGGCGCTATATCAATTTTTTTTTTTTTTTTTTTTTTTTTTTTTTTATTTGTTTATTTTCAAAGTATTTTTCACATTACAGTAACATATACATTTCATTATACATAATGAATTCCACTTTCACACATACTTTCATACTAATTAATATTGCTCTTTTTGTAAGTGGTATTTTATTTTATTGTAATGTTATATTAGAAAAGAAGGAAAATCAGAAAAGAGAAACAAGAAAACAAAGAAATAGAGGAAATAAAGATAGGTAAATGGACAGAAAGAAAGACAGACAGACAGACAGACGGAAAGATAGACAGACAAGAAGAGAAGTACCAGTATTAAACAGACCAATTAAAAGGATAGAAGTCTGGTAATATATAGGTGTCAGTAGCTAAGTAATTAAGATAATACATTGAATGTTTAAATTTTGTCTCTTTTTTTTCAAATAAATTAAAATTAGATCAAACATATAAACAATCGGCAAAAAGTAGGTCTAGGAAATATCAATAAGCCTTTTCCATTTTTTCCACTCATTCTGGAAGTTAATGAGATATATTTCGTCTTTACTATTTGCAATATATTTTTGAATACTGTAATGTTCTTTAATTGAACTTTTAATTCCTTGTATAGATAAAGGCACTTTAAGACATCTTGCCTTGTATATATACTGTTTTATTATTAAAATAATACTATTGTCACTTTTATTAAGTCCGTTATAGTTATAAAAACCAAAAAGAAATGTTTGTTTATTATAATCAAATGGAATAATCAATGCATCTAATAAGAACTCAAAATTTTGTAAAAGATTTTGTACTTTGTCACATTCCCATAATACATGCTCTATTGTCTCTATTTCTAGTTTACACAGTTCACAGTAAGGGCTATCTACTATTCCTGCCTTAAACAAATATGCATTAGTTGTCAAAATGTGCTGATTAATTCTGTACTGGAACCACTGTAATTTGGTATTTTTCGTAATTCTAAATGGCATTATATATATTTTTTTCCAAACTTCATCATCAAATTGAAATATATCATCCCATTTTTTTTTACCTGTTGAAATAGTATCATTTTTACAAAATAAGCTATAAAAATCTCTTATCCCCTTTTTGTTTTTCAAAAACATTTCTATATTAATTGGTAAAAATGGATAGTTAACCTCTACATTTGACATATCTTGTTGTATAATATACTCTCTAATGGCAGTAATTAGACCCTGGTATCGCAAAAAGTTTGTATTAATATCATAAATCTGTTTGAATTCTTGAAATGTGTAAAAAGCATTGGTATTTCTGTCTCTGATTAGATCATCAATTACAATTATTCCTTTATTGTACCATTCCCTGTAAAATATACTTCTATATCAAATGCTGTATATAATATAATAATGTCGGATTAGCGGAATGGTGTAAACTGTTGATTGTTGTCGAATCAAATTGTCTGTAACAATGTATGTCCACGACTGTTTCTCCTGACCTTAATGCGGTCTACCAGACTTACGTCACGTATGAGTTGTCGAGTTTACATGCTTAGATGAGTAACATGTACACAATTAAACCCTAGCTAACATGTTTGAAATATAAATCACTTATTTTACCGTCGCTTCATCTGTATCAGTGAATAGAAAGTACTGTTATGATTGGTTAACAATATAAATTCATACTGCGGTAGTGTGATGTTTGAAAAAGGTTATTCAAAGCGCATACCTCCGAAGAGGTGACCGGGACGTCATATTATATAAACCAGAAAACGACCTGATTAACAATTGCGTAGAAATATTACAAGAATCATGACTAGATAATACCGAAAGTAGTTCGATTCAAATAGCTTCAATAAATGTGAAAGTCCAGAACACGTGTTTTCGTATTTTGAGCATTACCGACTAAAACATCTATTATCAACTAAACTACAAATTGTCAGAACTTCATACATTTAGAATTGAAAGAAAACTAATATTGATTTACACTTACTCGATGGTTGGCAGTAATGTCGAAAAGGTGAGTTTGACAGAGAAAATGTGAAAACTTGTTGTGTTCCTGCACATGTTTTGAATGGAAGAGCTATCAAAACAAGGGACATCACTCTAAAGTCAGATGTATGAGAAACTTAACTACTACAAGTCTATCACTGTATAGCAGGCCAATGTTCAAAGAACCATAACTCTTGTACAAAAGGCCACAATTACAACACAGGTAGATAAGTGTGAAAGATATAAAGTACATCTAGTTGGTAAAAATCCAATACCTTACTGTCAAAACCAAAATAAACTACTCTAAAACGTGAAACAATATAGCCGCATTTGACTCACCAGATACACCGCCCAGCACCGATATAATTATACAAGCAATTGTTATGCAAAATAACCTAACAAAAACAGTATCGTTCCCATAACAAGAAAGGCACTAGTGTTTAACATCCATCGGCATTTTGGACGCTCTCTCATGAATTTTTGTTTCTGGCTCAATGTCATCACGATTATCTCTCTTCCTGTCTCGGTCTTTCCGCACAAAAACAGCATGACGTTCCCTGTCGGTGTCATTCCCTTGCTTTCGATCTCGGAAGGAACCTCTTCTCCCAAGCTGTCAGTGCCTGTTAAATCAATAAATTATATAATTCAGTATAGTGAACACAACTACACATAGCTTTAGTATCATACTATTAAACGCGACAAAGAATAAAATTATCAATCATACTATATGTGATAAAATGAGGTTGGTACTTTTGACAAAAATGTTAGGTTCGAACTTGATAGCAAAAATGACATATAAAAACCAATAACACGAACCATGATTACACAAGAACAAAACGAAATACACCATCGACACCTACAACAAATCTGATGAGACTACATGTGTTCTGGCCGTGTAATGGATTCCTTGACTCGCTGCAGTGTCTCTAACCAAGGGGTTAACACTTCCTCATCATGCCAGACATTTCAGGCATACAGCTTGAAATAAGCTAATAATAACGATAGCTAGAGCAAAATCATGATCGCATAAGATGGTATTCTGCTTGTGTATTTCGTAGTCCCCAAAGTATACCGTAACCTTGATGACAACAAGTATCTCCCCTTAGTAGTTGAAGCGTTTACAGTATACACACGTATTCATTACTATTTTGAAATAAATCAGTATTTCTTCAATTTTTGAAAATGATAAAATAAGGGGTTTTATGCATTTCCCCTATGTAGTATAAACGAATCGTTTCTACTACTTAAACTGCTTTATTGGCATTTTCGACCAAAAGAAAAACCAACATCACCCCACCCAATTCTTACACACTGTCATATCAGACGTAATGTACCTGCATTGCTATTCAGGAATTGGTTTTCCGGTATACCAGGTGTCCTATTTTTAATCTTTTGTGGCATGTCATCTTCAACATTAGAACATAACTCGTTCCCATTGCCGTCGTTGTCCTCTTCCGCCAGCTTAACATTCGCCTTAATGCGCGTCCACCATGTCAGGCCATCTAACTGATCACATAGCAATAACAAAGATAGATTTGTGTAACATGTTAATATGTATTGGTCATTTTGTATCATTTTAGGTACAAGTTAGTTGTCATTTGCAAAAAAAAGTATAACTTACATATAAGTTTCTTCCAGTTGCCCTTTCTGTGAAAGATAACCTTACCAATTTGCATTAAGTAAATTACAAATAAGGATGTTCGAAGGCAACATAAACAATTATTGAAATTCAAAAGCATTACACTAGGAGACAAATGATACTACACAATAGCAGAATGTTTTTCTTGAATCTTACCTCTTCTTCACTCTTCCCTGGCGTCAACATGCTGATAATGGCAACTGTCAAAGGAGTCAATAATACCAGAAAGGTTCCGAAATACAGGAAATGCACTTTATAGAGGATAGCCGGCCTCGTTTCAGGTTCACCACAAGGTGGCGCTGGATACACAAACTCAAGTACAAGCCGTATAACGCCGCAAACATGGGATATTACCAATCCGCCGACAATACCCTAAAGTATATAAAACAACAAAGAATTATTACACAATTTTTAATTTTCTACTCGTATTATCATTGAGAAAGTAGATAGGACTGCTAACGCGGCTTTTAACTTGCATCAACAAAACATAAATCTGCCTTATTGTGACTTTAAACCTTCCATGTCGAATTTTATTAAAAAGGATTTGCAAAATTAATTGTTAGAAAACCAATAACCGTTTGCATTTCAACCTAATGTAAGACCATGTGCAACAAGTGATGCGGACTGCAGAGAGGAAGTGGTCCTCTCTACTGCGCAAATGCCATACCTACGCAACACAGTTACAGTTTACGTAAGAAAGGCCAGCCTTACTGTCGTGCATGTAACCAGCAACTTACAACCAAACATTTCATGGTTGAATGCTCTGATTTCAAACAAATACGTGACAGATTCTATAATGTACCATCAATGAAAACTATATTTTATACAAGTTCAGTGTAATCAGTATATGATTATTGACACTCCAATCATCTTTATAATATGATACGATACTTCTAGTACTAATTCGTTCTATGTTGATGCGTTTTTATAATGACACATCTAATCTTTCTTTATTTTTTTACCTGAATTGTCGGTGGGCCGTTACAAATAATATATAAATATATATGTATTTTTTTATGATATCAATATCTAAATCAAGTTAACCAATCCCCCGACAATACCCTAAAGTATATAAAACAACAAAGAATTATTATACAATTTTTAATATTCTATTCGTATTATCATTGAGAAAGTAGATAAGACTGGTGAGAAAGTAAATAGGGCTGCTAACCCCGCTTTTAACTAACATCAACAAAACATAAGTCTGCCTTATTGTGATTTTAAACATTCCACTTCGAATTTTATTGAAAACAAATTGCGAAATGAATTGTTAGAAAATCAATAACCGTTTTCATTTCAACCTAATGTAAGAGCATGTGCAACAAGTGATGCGGACTGCAGAGAGGAAGTGGTCATCTATATAATATGATTCGATACAACTAATTCGTTCTATGTTGATGCGTTTTACATCCAACCTTTCTTTCCTTTCTTTATTTCTTTACCTGAATTGTCGATGGGCCGTTACAAATGAAATATAGATAGATAGATATAAAAAAATGATATTAAAACCTAAATCAAGTTTAAGTTTCAAGATACAAAGTATTGCAATAGGGGCAGCAGATCAAGTATAATATTCTTTAACTCCCCCTCAACAGGATACACAACAACACCTTCGATTCTGAATGTATCTCATGTTCGTCGATTCTTACGATAAAGTGTGGTTGGATACAGCAGATCAATTACAAATACAAGATCCAAAGTACTGCAATGGGGGCAGCAGATTAATTTTACAACGACAACAACTCCGAGTCTGAATGGATCTTTTGTTCGTCACTCCTTACGGTAACATGAGGTTGGATACAGCTGATCAATTTTCCCCAAACACCTACAGGGGTAATAAGTATAAAGTAAATTACTTCATAACGATGTCCTGTCATGAAGACACGCCCATCCGTTTTGTTGCAAATCCCCAAACAAACAGAACCCCCGCCTCCTTATAAAAGGGGGAAAAAACACACAAAAAACACGTATTTCAATTATTGTATTAACTCAATATTTAAATAAATGAAAACACAATAATTGTATATACTTACCAACTCAGTTGTTCGTTTCCACAGAATGGCCATCATAAACGCAGGACCAACAGGTGCCATTAGGTTAGCTTGTACCATATTTATATAATTGAAAAGTTGTCCCCCTTGCGATCCCTTGATTAACGGCAGCCAGATGATGCTTATAGCGCACATGAATAAAATTACGATTCTGAAAGTTCGGAAAAGTATTTCAAATAACAAAATAAAAACATGCATTTCATAACACCAATCCTCAAAGTATACAAAAAAAACATTAAAAATAACGGTTTCCTGTGATATGATTCTCATTAGAGTGATCAATTTAAGATTAAATAACTTTCAAATTAATTTCCAAATAGATAAAGTTTATATGGCATAATTATGTTGTAAAGAACTCTGTAATATCCATGTAAAATGTCAAGATATTAACCATGTTTTCCAATATGGTTGATTTGATATTAACAATTCGTTGTACATGCGATATTATAAACACTGGTTGAAACGTTTCCGCGTATCCATGAAAGCACGTTATCCTTACCTGCCGACAATGAGTAGTTCCCTCTGGGTAGATCGTGGTCGGAACCGTCTCCAAAGATCCATGGTAAACAAAGTACTTGAGCTGTTAAAGATTGATGTCAGGGAACTCATGATGGCGGACAAAATCACAGCCATCAGGAAACCTCTAAGTCCTGGATAGATGTAAAAAGAACACGTCAATCTGTGTTACTCTCTCTCATAACAATCGCGTCAGTTTTGATTTTTTGGGGACCAGTGATAACGTGACGTCAAATTCAAATTACGATTTAAATTCCCGAATGGTTTCCGGTTGATGTTTGCCGACTGACGCAACTTGTAACCGTAGAAACCCCATCTTGTTCCTGCAGAAATAACTGTTTCCGTCATTTGGTAAAACAGTTTGTTTTTCAATGTATTCTGAACCGATTCACACCACCAATAACGATAAAAAGGAACTCAAATGCATACTAGAATAAACATTTACAGAGGTGCATTTCAAACCTTAACTAGACATAAATACAATTTTAAATATGATCTATGCATTAGGCATGCATTTTATAAAACAAAGCACAAAAACACAGTGAAGAATGTAACAAATGTGTTTCTATGTAGTCCACATGGAGTAGATGTTATGTATAGAGTAGTGTTTTTGCCGTGACGAAATCTGGTTAGTCAACGGAAATTATATTCAAATACACTGACATGTGAATGTCGTAACAATATCCATTTATAAAGATTATTTATCAAGATTATTTTATCAAGATTATTCATAAAGATCATTTATCAAGATTATTTATCAAGATTATTCATAATGATTATAAAGAATCTGTTAAACTCGTTTTCATGAATGTGGGTATGGTACTGACACACGTATACAGATCTCACCTTTCGGAAGAAGTTCCAGGACCATCTTAGGGTAGGCTATGTTAGAACAACCGACGGGGTTTTCGCATATCCTCATACACTCGTCAGGGTCAGCGCAGGCTACCTCGTCTGAAACGCCACATTATAACTGATGAATAATGTAAGAAGTTTCTTATTGCATTTTTGTTACTGTATGGAGTTTTAACTTTAAAACGCGCTCTTTGAAGTTGTCTTTGTACATTTAGCATTCACTTTGCTTATTAATGCCAACATTAAGTTGCAATACTTTAGCTTAGCAATACTATATAAATATACGGAAAATAGTATGCATTTAACTTTTATTAAACATAACAGCTACGTGAATGCCCAAACGATACGCCACTTGGGATGCTAATGTTTGCAAATCTAAATATTGTAAAATTATAAATAGAAGTTGAATTAAATATCAAGACGTTGTAACTTTTCTACTGTCTATTGTTTTAATAATTATCTATTCATACAAAGATATGCATAATTGATGCCCGAGTAAATGATTTATCACTATTAGAACATTTTTTTACATTTTCTGACCACTTTTTTCTAAAAAGGCAACATTCAATCTATCGAAGGGTATATATAACAAACGTTTTAATTATTAGTTATGTATAAAACTTTGTAAAGTGATGAATATTTTGACATTAAAGAGAGAAAGAAGTTCTGTGGTTACTATCACATCCTACTTTGACTTACTAGCGTATAAACACTGGTGTTTTCGATATACTAAAAAACTGTTTATTCCTCGGGTTTTAATTTCCACGTTTTTTACTGTAGTAATTTCTGCAAAAAATGTATCACGCTTTTTTTTAGCAAAACCGTGAAATTAGGTGACTGCAAAAAAAGAGTGTTTAACAGTATCAAACTCTGTGAAACACTTATATACAAAGGGTATGCAATATCGAGAGTATTCAAAATATTAATAAAGTTTAATACTAAAACTGATCTAAGCAAGAATAACGTTTGATAATACCTCAGGAGAGCTGAGTCTATTTTTGTCGCGTTTACCTCTCCCTGCTACATTCACCTTTTTTAACGACGAACAGTTAGTTATCTGCCGTTCCCAGAATTGTATCAGGCACCTAACTTGTACTGAAAACAATGGTTGTTTTACCTGGAAATAAAACTCTACTGATCATCCCAGGAAATATCATTAGGAACAGTGGAAGGATTTTCAAAGAAGCCGCCATTACTGATCCCCCTTTAGCGTGTTCAATATTTTTTGCCGCGAGTGATCGCTGCACAATGATCTACAAAATACCACATCGATAAAGCATATATTGTACATGTATATGAATAATATTTTTATTCTGTGAAATTCAAGAACTATGTCTACTTGAAACAACGAATTGGATATATTATCTTGATTAGCCTAATAGGTGTCTCTTCTGTTCCTGTTTTTTCTGTCGTTCTTGCTGCTACCTTTTTGGGTTTAGTGGCTTATCAGTTTCTGTACGTGACATTGTTTTGGTTTCTCTTCAGTTCTTACTGCTGTGTTTATAGATAAATGTCGAGCTAGGTATACCTCTGTTTTCTATTTTACTTTCATGTCTGAATGTACAAATATACGGATACAAATTATATTCTGTGACGAAAAAATATGTTTCGCATAAATAATTCATGTTTTATCAGTGCAGCAAAGGGTAAACTCTTGTGATTAAATAGTCCCTGCCTTAGACTACAGCCTTAGATGACCTTCCCGAGGTAAAACTTGATATTCCCTTTCGACGAAAAACAAACTTTTCCTAAGTGAATCGCCTGATACAGAAACTCAACATGAAGTAAATATCATCTGGCACGTATTTGCCATATACAGTTGTGTACGGTTATTTTTTATTTCTATTTGTTGGTGTATATTAATCGACAGTGTTATTCATCGTGCTGACCAAACATAATACCCAAGGAACAATGGAATGTCACTAGCACTGTTGTTTTCGTCGTGTTCATGAAAATTACGGTATAATTGATTTTCTGTTCAGAAAATGATTAAACAGTTTCCAATGCCTTGCTACATTTTTGGCAGTAGTACGGGAACCTTAAAAAATCACGTGCAACAAATGATATTTTTTCTTGTTTCTCTTAAAACAACAATACATTCAAATGATGTCTTATATCACAGTTTGTGGCAGTGATACATGTATCCTTAGTTCTCCATTACTCTTAAAATCTGGGACCTGCAATTTATGATAAACAGGGGTTGCTTCATGTTGATATTCATAAACGTTTTACAATAATCATTAAAGTAGGATAATTACCTGGTCACAACACCAGTAGGCAACACATCCAAGAGAGGCAACTATGACAAGCCCTGGCCACGGTTGGTTGTTTCCAGTGGGATCTAGAAACACGTGAAATGCATCTTTCCTTGGGAGACCGCAGGTTGAATTAATAATCTGAATGGTTGCTGACGAATTCATGTATCTCTTCATCAGATTTTCAATATTACCAACTTCGTTCATCCCTGAATAATTTGGATAAGTAATATAATAAAATAACTAGTGCAAGAAAAAATACCGTCATTACATTTACTTCATGTCTTCTTAAATTATTTATGATATTTAAGGTATGTTCGTCTTTTAAACATTATTTGCCTGACACATCAAATACTAGACACGGAACTCATATTTGATTTCACAAGAGTCAAAGACTAAGGCGGCCTCAAAGCAAAAGCATATATTGAAATGTTTCATATATAAAAGCAACATAGCATACTTGTAGCATGTGCTGTTTAATTATCATAAATAACTACGTAAGTTTATATGATAGGTATCGTCTTACCAACACCCATCAACACACAAGCTCCAATGGTCATCACAACTGTCTGGAACGTATCTGTATACATTACAGCGGTTAGACCCCCTACAAAATACATCATACAATCACTGCTAAAAAAATGCTATATTATTTGTAACAACAAATACCTTGATTTGTTTTCAATTCATACCTTGATATTGTTGTTGGTTAAAAACGTTGTCATCTCATACTTTGGTATCATATATAACCATTAATTATATTTTAGCAATTAGGAGTGGGATATATTTTTCAATAAAAGTTACTACTCAATTTAAAGTAAATTATCAGCTGTAGAAGTATTTACCTAATGTGGTGTAGAAACCTGTGACAGCCAGAAGGATGATGACAGACACATACATGTTCCATCCGGTAGCCATTTGTAAGAACAGAGAACCAGCGAACATACTTACCTGCATTTAAATAGGGTTTCGTGATTACCTTCAATGAATATATTAATTCATAAGCAAGAGAATTAATATGTGTTGATGACATCAACCTTTACATGCCAATAAATATATTCATGATTTATCCAAGTGTTCCTACGTGTATCTGTATAACCGTACCACAGAAATCAGCAGTATAAAAGTATTAACTCTAACGCCATTCATTGCTGTAAGCAATTTTGACGACAAAGTGTAGTGTCTGTTAGAAGATCCCTGACAAGCAACCCTGACTATGTAGAGTACAGTGATCAGTGCCGACTCACTGTAACTCCAGAGGCAGAGGATACCGTAATATTATTGAAGCGAAAAGGTTAATATCCACTCACCTTTTGAATCTGACTGCTACATATACTTACGGGATGTCTTATGTTATCTATATAATAATGAATTAAAAACTAGCAGATTCAAATAAAAAGTAGGAAAGAGGGCCTATTGTACATGGCATTAAAAATATGTATTTAACAGGGAAGTTACAGTACGTTGATGTTAATTTGCATACGTTACCGCCAGTTTGATGACGATGGAGAGTAGAAGAGAAAGGCAAGAGAGATATATCCGGATTTTGTTTCCCCCAAGGCGCCTCTCCATATACTCTGGCAGAGTATATACCTGTAACACATTTACATATTTTTATTTGCGCTCTGGTGTCATTATATAAACCCAAGTAAACTTTGTTCCGTGTCTTCAGACTATAAACCGAAATGAGCAGTAATACGAACCTGACCAAAACGGGGGAACAAACAACACGGACGTCATATTCGACTTTCGTTTTGAATTTTTAAGCAAGATGTTGGCTATTTCAGCATGAAACCACAGCAATAATTATTAATTCATCAAAATTGTCATACTCTATTACTTTCAGACAATAATGAAATTGTAAAATCCGCAATGAATCTTGCCCTCAAGCATGCAACAGTCAAGTAAGAAGTAAGCTCTCACTAGCTAAATGTCCGGCAATGTCTGTGGAAAAATATGTCCTAGCTTTCGCAATGAAGTCGACCATCAAAATAAAGTCTACACTTAGAGCCTTTGCGACCTCAACATTCAAAATATTATCAATAAATAAGAGGATGGAGACATGCTTTCTGCGACGACCGCATTTATTTTGAATAATTTTCTAATTAAGCGGTGACGTCATTATCAAACGATGTCAATAATCGTAATAATAAACACAGACTATATTTGAACATTTTAGTAACAGGAAAATACACGTGCTTTGGTCTGTGCCACCAGTCGATCATTCCAGTTAATCTTGGTGAGATTTTCATTTTATTTTAATGTCACTATCATTGAAAGAAACAGAAAGACGTGAAAATATAAATGAAAGCTTTGAACTGCTTTCAGAGGCAGTTCATATGCATTGTTAATGTTCACTGTACTCATGTAATGCAGTGGGCATTCATAGTGTCTATGAACCGCTTCTAAAAGCAGATTAATGCTGTAATGAATTCATCTTATTCAGTGCATATTCAATATCCAGTCACCTTTGATATCACACAAAATTGCTTGCGACAGCGCAACATTTGTAAACAGGAAAAGCTTAATCGTCCCTTCTTCCCCCTTAAATACTAATTGTAGGATAAGACAACGGATTAATGTCGCCCGGACGATTAGCGAGACCCGAATTTATAAGTTTACTCCGATGATGAAATAGTAGGTAAAAACACTGTTACATGACGACAAAACTGAGGAGATACAAGAGCATGACGTCAAACTTAGATATAAACCTACTACCCAACCCACCCCCTCTGTCCGAACAAAAACATAAAATTAAATAAATGAATTAATAAATAAACATAAAAAACAATAAAAAGAATTTATACAACAAAAATAATGCTAATAAGACGAATCGAATGTTCTGCAAAATACAATTCAATTTTTTAAATATCTTATTTACTTGTCATAATCAATATTTATTTCAGCAAGAGATATGACAACTAGCTTGTTGCTATTACGATAGAACAGTATTCAAAGGTGAATGTCATACGTTGTACTATATTTACTGAAAGAAGATGACAGAAACTTACCCCTGAAGAAATGTAGACAGGGATGAAATACCAACCAAGTGCCAAAATGAGTATTGCCGGCTAAAAAGGAAAGTATGTCGTAAAAATAAATGTTATATAACAAATGTTTTAACTATCTATTGACTGCACATAGGACATTTGTAATAAGTACACGTTTCGTATGATATTATCAAAACGATTTGAAGATTGCTTTTAACCAAAAAGTGTTTATGTGTGATGTTTCGATGACTAGTACGGTATTTACTATGTCACCCTCATCAGACAAATGACCAGTGAAGCGTATGCACAAAAAGGTGTAACATATGTACGAGTTGTCCACAAATCGATTTCGATTCGGGAACGCTGTAAGCGTATGTACAAGTTTTCATATATGTACCGAAATGCTTCGATTCAGCTACACTTTGACCAAGTATTAAACAAAGCGTAGCTGAATCGATTCATTTCGATACATGGATTTTTTCACAATCCATTTTTACCAACCTAAAGAAAATGTTTAGAAAAATTACTGGAGTGTTGTTTCATCTATATTATTTCATTGATGATACATAATCAAAGCAAAATTAATTTGTAAAAGTTTACACCTCTTACTGTCAACACTTATTACAGGAAGTACATTTATGGATTTATTGGTAAGTTTGTCATACCAGTATTGCAATAAATAAATAAAAACAGTGTTCACTTCCTATTACCCTCATCTTACATGTGATCTCAGCTGCCAGGAATTTAACAGAGACCGGCTGCTCTAGTGTAAACATTATTATAACAGGTGGCAGATCGTTTAGTTGGCCTAGTCAAAAATTAATGTTATACAACAATTATTTTAGTATCTTTACAATTAAAGGGATGGGCAGTGGCTTTACAGCTTAATATACTCGGCAAATGGAATAAAGTTATTAGAAAATATTTATTGGACACTATGACGTATATAATAAATGATATTGAACTGTCATTTGATGATTGGTAAATAAAAACATACCAGCCATTCAAACATAATATTCGCAATCCCGCTTGAGGCACCAGATCCCGCGAGACCGACAAAATGCTCACTTCCGATGTTACTAGAAAATAAGGAAGCGCCAACCTGAAATAAAATATCATTACATATACACTTATTAATTATGAGAAGTTCTTTTTTACATAAGACAGTTGTCCATAAAATCGGTCATCTATGACCAAGTATTAACAAAGCGTAGCTGAATTGAGTCATTTCGGTACATATATAACAACTATTGTACATGCGGTTCCAGCGAAGCCGAAATCGACTTCATTGGACATTTGTCTGATGAAGGTGACAGTGTACATATCGTACTAGTCATCGAAACGTCACATAGAAAATGTTATTGGCTGTGTTAAAAGAACTTCTCATAATCCATACTTACCAACCTGAAGAAAATGTTTAGAAATGACATATACACCATTTGTGTTCATATAAAGTAAGAAATTTGCCAATCTTTGATTGAAGACTAAAACTACGTGCATAAAATAAACAATAGCAATTGAAGAGGAGTTAAAACAACCGAAATTGAGTGTACATCAACAGTAATAAAATAGGAACTTAGGTGATTTAAATAACAACAAAAAAACGGCCGGGATCAAAACTTTTTCCTCAGGGCAAGCGTTTACTGAACTGTATGATTCGTCCGTCACCATAACATCTATCTGTATTTCAACTGTTTGGTTGAACACCTCTTCATCATTTGAAAAGGTAAAGTATGAACGCAACTTACACAATATATTATAGTATAAACCCCAAATATACAGGTATTTCATCTGTTCATACTATCAGACTACACTCCATTTTTTGTTTAAAACGAAAAATGTATTTACTCATTAAATATTACGTAAAAACTAGATGAATGAAGCTTTGAGACATACCGCTACCCATGGCATCGAACGTCCGGCAAGGAAGTAACTCTTAACATTGCCGCGATCGGACCGCCTCATAGACTATAATTAGAAAGAAAAAACAACAACAGAATTCTCTATTGATAGGTAAAGTTTTTTTCTTGCACGATATCATAATTATTACGGTTCAATTGGTATTAAAGAAAAATGTCTGGAATATAATTATTTTCCCATGAATAATGATATTTTATTATTTGGTACTTAGCACACGTTTATAGTAGGGTGTATTTTAACTCTATTATGCTTCCATACAGAAGAAAAACTGATTGGTTTAATATTAATCGTTTAAGAAAAGGATGTTAAGTTCTCATTTTTTATTCGATATGAGGTTCAATACGGAAGCAAACACGAATTGTTATTATGTGTATTTTAAATATATTGGTCAAGTATCTTCAATAAGATTCATCAGTTTGGAAATATGTGATATCAAAGTTTTACTTTCTACACAAACAATGTACGTATTAAACGTGTCGCAAGGTTTCAAGTCCGACTGGTCCATTTGTCAAGCTATAACTAAGTAAGCGATTCGTATTTTTACCTGTGCAACGATGTGAAGAAATTGTATAATTTGTATTTATAATTGTATAATACCGTTTCGTCACATCATTGTACAGGTAAAAAATACAAATCACTCACTCAGTCATAGCTTGACAAAGCGACCAGTCGGTCTTGAAACGTTGCGACACGTTTAATACGTACATTGTTTGTGGAGAAAGTAAAACTTCGATATGGGAATACGTGGCATTTTTTTTAACATTAAATTATTTTACGGGCCGTAAGAAAATAAAACTGCATTCCTTTTTGTTGTATATCTTTTAAACGTTTCACATCCTAAATGTAGTATTAATTAAGAGAAATACGAAAAAATTATTGGCATAGTACCTTTAAATACATATATTGTAGTAAAGAAGGTTTCAGTATACAGAAGCAAAGGTTTTCAAAGGTATTTAAATTCTTGTGAAAAGAAAACATTAAAGAAAGCTTATTTAGTCATCATTCAAATTGTCGTACAGAATGAATATTGGAAAAAGCCATACTTATTGAATAGAGTAATAAGCTTAGACAGGAAACAGATGATTGCCTAATTATCTTTAGCTGTGATATTTGGAAATATGATGTTCCTAATATATCGAAGCACAAACTACCCTTCCCCCTGCATAATTGTTTTTCCGTGTCTTCAGATTTTGCTTAGAAAACATTGATCACAACTGTTAAGGGCTGTATTTTTCAGTTATACCCTTTTCTTTATATTTTGTATTCTTTATTACCTCTCTTGTACAACTTCACTGTGGGTTTGGAGGTTAACAAATAGCAATTGCGTATGGTAATACATGAAACAGATCAAGTAGGGATACAGTTTATAGTATCAACACCAGTTACTGTTAAATAAAATACATAATTAGATACAATATATATTTATAACTAAGGAACCATGTCTTTACATATCCGATATTCAATGCACAAATGCTAATCTGAACGGCTACATGCATAAAGAGTACGTACCCATAATCCAATTACTAACACGACCACAAAGTACACGGCAAGTACCAGAATATCTTCCCAATTGTCAATACGTCCTGTAGCGCTCGCCATTGTTCTGTAGACTCACACGGAACACAAGAGTGATTATGGCATCAGTAAGGCATTCCTTATAACGATAAAACTTAGGATAAAAATGAATAGTTGTTGTGTTCAAACCATTATATGATACTCGACGCTGCTTCCTGACAAAAGTGTCCGCTAACCCTGTCTGAAAATATGTTGTCAGCCAAATACCAACTTGGAAATATAATTTGATAATTTTAGATAGGATCATTCAGTGTCAGTGTTTGAAGTTCAAGTGCAATTGTTCCTGTTTGAATTCCACTCGAATGCGTTCTACTGATAATACAACGGATGTTGCTCTTGATATATTGCTGACCTGATATATCAGGGACAATCTTCAGATAACAAACAACCTATATTCCGATTTCCATAAGTTTCTGGTCATAAAAAACTCACTTGAAATGTCTTGTTATGTAATTATGTGAACTATGAATCGGTACCAAAACACAAGCAGTAAAGGACTGCAACAGAAAGTAGCGATATGTCAGGACTTTCTGAAAATAGAAAATGTAACAATTTACTTATACGACATAAAAAAGCATTGTCAGCTTGAAGTTGTAGTTTTAGGTCCATGCAACAGCTAGGGTTATACAAGGACTCTGTCTACAATGGTGAATTTTACCAGTGCTACATTTAGGTTTCAATAATCTAAGAAAGACTCATTTGCAAACGGTGATCGCGGTAACGCGAGAAATCCAACAAAGTCGTAAAAGTTTACACCTTGCTACTAAGTCCTTACTGCCACCAAATTAATGTTGAACGTCAGACATCGAACAGTAAATTTAAGTTCAAATCTTAATTACTTTGGTAAGGGGACAAACCAATAGCTTTAAGCGTCAAGTAAGTCATTCGTAAATGAGAAGGTAGCTAGAACATAGAGTAAAGGACAATTTCAATGAATATAACAGATACATTGTTCAATAGCGAGTAGACCCAGATGTGTAACTACACGTATGTCTGGTTCACATTTGTAATTGTGATGTCAGAATTAACAGAATTGTCATGTGACATCACATTTACACCAATCGGTATAAGCAAAATCGACGACGTTGAAAACTTGGCAATGTGAAAATAGAGTTATATCATATATCTAACTATAAATTTGTTATCTATAAACAAAAAGGTTTTTACAAAAATCTTAATTTGTTTTGATGATATGATAATACAGTCCAGAAATCCTTTTCATTTTGTCTAGGACGAAATCTACGCTTCGCTTGTTCTTAGATAACTGGAAGTCGTCGAACAGCTTATTTTGTTAGCTCAGTTGTAACTCACCTAATTGAAATTGTCCATGCATGTTTTTTTAATCTCACAAGAAATGGGAATCATCTTAAAGTCCTATATGTATCAACTTGGCAGTATTCCCTCAACGAATAGATACGAAAAAACATGTATTAAACGCCTTTCTAGGATGCAGTTGGAAAAAAATATGTTATGATCGTTCCAAAAGGAATAAAATGGACGATATAACTAAGCGACAGCTATGCATGTAATAAATGTCTGAGGTTTGAATATTTCGTGAGTATATTATAATGACTTTGAATTAAATACGAATATTTCTTATAACACCTGCTGTAGACAGGATTGCATACATAAAACCGAACCCAATCTTTACAAATAAGTGTCTTTTTCAGATGTTGATCACGTCTGAGACACATAGCAGACGATCCGTTTATTTGTTTTAAAGATATCTTTTTCTATTGTTCTCTTCATGACCCGATACCTTCTGCACACTCTAGCTTATATAGTTTATCGATCATTACATCCGCTATAAAAACATTAAGCATCATTTTTGTAAACTCTACGCATAATTTTGCTTTGAAATGTTTCACATCTTTAGAACTACGACCTATAGTTGGGCAGAATATAGTGACATAAAAGTGCAATTTCGATGCTCACGACTGTGTAGGGCTCTCGGCTACACCAATAGCCAAAGAGTAACTCAAGCATTATGTTTTCAATTGAAAATCTTCAGCAATGCTTTATGTTAACAGCATTCGTGTTACTGCGGTCATTAGTTATTTCTATTACATCCCAGTTTAATGCTGATTACACGGTTTTAATAGTTACCAATCTGATCAATATCATCTGTTACATGGCTTCTTTTCAATTCAAGATATTTGATCGATCCAAATAAATTGATTAAAAAACAGACAGAGTATATATAAGGCATCTCTTATTTCGTTTACAGCATACTGTACAGTGGTTGAGGCAGACATGTGACAGATATTGATTTTATATAGTATAACTAGTTTTAAGAATGGCGAGTAGATTTTTTTAATTAAACTTTGAAACTGTTCCTAGAAAGTTAGGATATAAAGAGGTGTAACAATTACACACATCCACATTAACACTTCCACACTACTGTACAATATATGTATTATTAATCGGTACTCATACTTACAATCCTAAGAACACGTGATGACTAATAGCACATACAAAACACTAATTACACACAGATACACCGCTCACACAACCCAAAGTGTAATTTCATATATGCTGATATAAACCATTATAGATCAAATGAGTTATCGATCCTAACTCACAACCTTAACTATACCCAATGAAACACATACAAACATAATGACACACAATGGTAATTGATGTTTGCCTTTTTTATACATATAATGATACGTGACCACTGGTAGTGCAACTTGCCTCAGATGTTAAGTAAGAAATCACACACATATGATAAATTGTTTGATAAAGCTATATATAGATCAATTTACAATTAACAGATTACATAGGTATAAGTAGAAGTACAATTAATAGATATAAAGTATAGACGAACAATGTATATGCTAACAATATTAACTATATAGCAGGCTTTTAGTATTAAAATATAAGTAGAAACATTATCTAATATGAATTGATTTGCATCAAAGGAGAGGAAATGACTACGTTTAGTAAAAATATTAACTGAAATGTCGCCAATAATATTCTGTAATACAAATGTATATGAACAGGTAATGACGTAGATGATTATAGAGAAGACAAGAAAAGAAGTACCATACTTTAGCTGCTTCGTGTATTACCTACCTGAACGAAATAGTCATGTAACAGAATGACTAGCTTCGTATCAGCTCTTTATATTCAAAATACTTCAGAAACATGATGTCTTTACTGGCTCCTGAGGTACAGTGTGTAACGAACACATTCACACATCACCACCGTCGTTAGTGAAGCAAAGCATTTAGAAACTCAATAAGTGACAAATGTTTATGCAGTTGAACAAGTGAGCGGTGATGGCTAACCTGAAAAGAAAACCGTTACAGACATCATATCCAAAAGATTTTCGACAGCACTAAAACAGATATAACTTGACTACTTACATGCGAACACATTTCACATTTGGTATAAAAACCTCCTTATCTCAATCCAGCAACAATTCTGTGCCATTTGATACAGTCAAAAATGGGATTTCCATAAATTATTAGACGTCGTTACTTACTTGTATAGTGCAGGTCCACCCTGAATCAAGGCCAGATAACTCTTGGTTAAGTTTTGTTTTAATTATGCAAAAATAGCTGGATTAAGAATTCAAAATAGTGAAGCATAGGTTATATGGATAGGCAGTAAAAAATAAAGTGAAGTGACTTTTATGCCAGAAGTAAATCTGCAGTGAAGAAGATACGTGCATTTTATGGATAGATTATCCTTAAGTCTTAAACCAATTTCCTAAAATGGATTCTGATAAAATAAATCTGTAAATTTAAAACTCCGATCAGTACATTAAAAAGGAATAGATTGACTCCATTTGGTAGGGAAAATGTTGTTGTTGTTGTTTTGACAACTACACTATATGCTTAATACTTTGCCAAACCCACCAAAATAAATGACATAATAACAAATTCAGGTTACACTTGATGCGTTCTAACATAATTTACAAATTAATACCAACTTTCTGCAGTTCCATGGACTGATTTGTTGGATCGAACACTTTTTGAGAAAGCATGCTTTCCTATCTTCAATAAGATGTATCAGCTTGGGAATAGTATCAAAGTAAGTTTTACTTTCTACACAAAAAATGTAAGTACTTAACGTGTCGCAACCTTTCAAGACTAACTGGTCCCTTTGTCAAGCTATGACATTGTTTGTGTATAAAGTAAAACTTTGCTATAACATGCATTCCTTGTAGAAAGTCCTTCGAAGGCCATTATACCACTCATACTTTTTAAAAGTAAAAACAGTTCTCAAACTGTCTATAACTGTATTATTGCTTCAGTTTCACTGTCTCTTGGGACTAGAAAATGGAACCAGGAGTTTGATATGCAAGAATTATGATATTTTGTTCTTAGAATGTCAAGATACAATGAAAATATTCATTTTTCTGCATGTTACTGTTCTTGTGTTTGATTTGAGATGAAACCAGAGGTGAGATGTTACGATGATCATCCTAGTGATCAATTGTGACTTATTCCTCTACTTAATTTGGTACCTCTTACCACAACTCTTAAAATAGCGCTTAACTTAAAGCCCCCATCAGCTCAAAGACAAAACTTCGTCAAAATTAGAATAACGAACGTTCACGTTATATTCCAAAATAAATACATAATTATATAAATTTACAACTGGAAGAGATATATCTATCCTATCTTTCATTCTTACTTAATCGGGCAGGTAGCCCCAACCTTTTCACGTCCGATCGGGGAATCGAACCCCGGTCACCTTGGTGAAAGGCAAGTGCACTATCCATTGCACCACCCGACCACCCTAGTAAATAATGTCCCTTGAAAATTGAAATGGAGTAATAACAGATGCAAAAAAAAATCGTTCGATTTTTGACCTCACTTCCTACTAGTTTTGCAAACTTTCTGTAAACCGAAATGTTACTTATTGATATTGGTGCCATACGTGTAACAAACCGACATCTTCACATGATGGTGTACATACAATCCTAGCATTGTGTTTCGTATTGCTATGTAAGACAGATTTCTTAAAATATCAAGTGTGGCAGTTTCGTCCCATGACACCGGGGCAGGTTCGGCCCATACCATATACGCGGGGAAGCCGTGAAATTGGCGGGGAAATATAGCGTTGCATGCTTTATGACGTCATAACTATGTTAATTTCAATGTGGGGACGAACTTACCATAGACATCCCGTCCAAACTTACCCCCAAGGCGGTGCACATTAGGCCATACACTCTTCCGACAGTGAAGATTCAAATAACTCTTTAAACTAATACGGACGTGTTTGCCATTCTGTTATAGTTTTATGAAAGGCATGGAATTCCTCTTCCGAGTGGTGTAAATACATACATGTATAAATTTTACTGTCCAGATCGAATGACTTAACTGAAAATGGGACAAACTTGCCCCTGTCTACCCGATATTTTGGGTGTGGGGAGGGATGATGACACCCCCCCCCCCCCCCCCCCCCTAAATATGAAAAATAAAATGTATAATGGTACATTATGCAAGGGTTTTATTCTAGCTATTCTACCGACTGTAACTTACATAAAATGAAACAGTTAAATTGGNCCCCCAATGTCTAGTTGTTAGAACGAGACACTAAGTCGCTATAACGAGATGCTAAGTCGTTATAACGAGAGAGAAAATATTCATTGGATGTCCCCAATCAGCCACCGTACTTATTCATGTTCTACAGTAATTCATATTTTTTTGGTATCTCTAATTTGGGGTCCTACTAATTACAGCCCGGTACAGCCCGGTATAGCCCGGTACAGCCCGGTACAGCCCGGTAGAGCCCGGCACAGCCCGGGACAGCCCGGTAGTGATATATTGACCGCCCGGGCGTTTGTCTCCACTTATACACCATAATGATTTTTTGCATTGTCTGTAACAGTATGAATGTAGTGATCAAAAAATGGTGAAAAAATCAT